TTTTTTTTTTTTTTTTTTTTTTTTTTTTTTAATGGATCAGAATGGTTGTTGTATTGAACCTTTCTCCCCTGGCACAGAGATTGTCGAGAAGGCATGCGAGCAACTCCAGCCCCCATCCCACGGCTCCATGACAGGGGATCCGACTCGTCTAGTGCACTTCTCTTGCGACGAAGGGTACCGTATTTACGGTGCCGACACTCGCAGATGCATGAATGGAAAATGGACGGGTTTGCGCCCAATTTGTGAAGGTATAGGACAGAAAGGCGATGTTTGACATATTTACAATTCCATGCAGTCTGATTGGCTAACGCTACACATTTTCAACCAGAAAGCCCTTAATTAAACTCAGGCCCTTGACCATCTTAATGTAACTTTGAAGACCTCGCCTCTCACCGTAACAATCATAATCTTTCCAAAGAATCTTCGAAACCTAAGAACCCTAGCCCTATAAAATCCACTGGAATGATAGCCTCATCCGTTATCATATTATCATCATAAAATGATACCCTCACCCTCAGCCTGAGGCCAACATTCCCCAGACGGCATCATTTTGGTGGGAAGTATTTATTTTGTTGGTAGCCATGCTACCCCATTACGATGGTAACAAATGCGGCCGTACACCTAATGTTGGCATTTCGTAGTACTTTGAGAACCAGCGAAATGTTTGCTGCAAAGAATCCTGAACTTGCTAGGCAACATGCGCCCTCTCTTGTCATCCATTGGCACGTGTTATTTCCTTGCAGTCGTGGCCAAGTGGCATACACACGGTCTCAGTCCACTGAAATTCTAACCTGATCCTCATGTCCTAAAACACGATTTAAATCCTGGACCAGTTTCATATATAAGCCTATACTCTCATCTTAATCCTATTCATTGTACACACCTGGTCCACGCATTTTCCTTGTGACACGTTAACGCCATCCGTGAAATCACCTCACCAATGTAAGTCTCGAAACCCATTAGCTGCCGGAACTGGAAATTGCAAGCAATACTTTACACTCAAACCTGTCCTCTTTAGTGCACAGAAAGTCTCTCAATAACCGTACGATCAACTCCCCCAAACTCATCCATCATATATAATACATAAAGATGTACATTAATTTGCTGTTTAATATCCCGAAGATTGTAACTGTGGGAAGTGTGCAATTTTGTCTATTGTCGACTGACCGAACCCTCACCCATGTTTTTACCCTCATCAACATTGTCATCGTCACTGTCACACCCTGGCATGTAATTTTCATGTCCAGTGTAACGAGGAAAAGATTCCTTTTTCTTTCCTTCTTGCCAACTTCAAAAAAGTGGTGGGATGCGGTGATCCGGGAACGCCTGCTCATGGTTTCAAGGTTGGCAGAAACTACGACATCAACGGGACTGTTAGCTTCTTCTGTGACGAGGGCTACGAGCTTGTCGGGCATAAAAGCAGGATCTGCCTGGACGGAGGCGACGACCCGTGGTCAAAACACTTCTGGTCCGGGGTCCAGCCTGTCTGTAGAAGTAAGTTAGTGAGCCAGTTCGCTATGTCGACGGTAGCACTGCTCTTTTAGCGGAGGCTCCTCTGAGCAAAGTGCAAGTTTCTCACATGATTGCCCAACGTTTTCCCACGAAAGACTCTTCCCTCTCCACAATACTGTTTCTGAATGTTGGCACTTTCCTCCTTCCCTTAACAAATTAATGCCGCCAGGGGAGCTTGCTGTCTTGATGTAAATGAGTGGGGGGGATCTCTGAAGATGTCCCTCGCACGTGGCTCGTGGAGGCTAATCCACCCCTTTAGGATGGTTTTTACATACCGGCAGTATAAGACCACTCAAAGGAAGGATAATGGAAGGAGAGAAAAGTCTCTTTTGCAGGGAGAGAATGTTCTGCCCATGCTGGGTGTGCCTCAATAGTGGTGAATCAAGAGTTGAGGTTAACATGAAGTGTCTTACCGATAAGTACGAACATCTCTGAAACCCCCTTGCTGCAGCTGTTGCACAATCCGTGGCTGACATCGCGCAGAATATCCAGACGGATTTTGTCGACCGCCTGGAGGTCTTCACCCACTCCGGACGGGGCCGGCTGGCTGTGTCGGACAACATCGGCCTGGACCTTGTCTTCGCGTACGACACGTCGTCCAGCTTGAATCGTGTCAATTTTCAGCGGGGGATCAATTTCACCGAGAGTCTCCTCAAACAGTTTGGTGTTTCGTATGAAAAAGGTGAAGCACGTACTATCACAGGTCAAAATGCAGAATTTTGAAAAAAAATAAACAGATTGGAGGTGAACTGTCATTTTTTAAACCCCCTTTTTTACATAAAAGCTGCCAAGAAAAAAAGGAAACAACTGGGTTCTTGATGGGGTCCTCGCTTCGTGCTCATTCCACAAAGGATTATAAAGCAGTGGCACTGATAAGTGAAAAATAGGTCCTTGCTTTGTTATGGTAAGCAGACGATAGATGCATTTGCTTAAGTCCCATTGGCTTCATTTTGATGAATTTAAATTGGTGTTCTGCATTAAAGGTGGAACCAGAGTTGCGGTGGTATCTTTTGCCGACAGGGCAAATATCGAGTTTACTTACGGGAGCGACGTGGACACGTTTGAGAAAGTGATGGAAAAAATAACCCTGTTGAAGGTAAGCTTGCTTCCCTTCCGACCAGATTCATTAACAACAGCAAAAGCGACAGCAGAAATGTTACAGCGAACGATTACGCAGGTCGCCTTCGGAAATAAAACTACGGTGGTTGATTCGTGACCCACTCTGATATGAAAGTGCGAACATTCCTACATTTTAGAACAACCCGTGTCCATTGTGTGATACACGTGTTATAAATGGGGCTATCGTCGCATATTTAATTTTCTTTTACTAACAGGACAATCTCGGTGGGGGCACAGCGCTTCGTGGTGCACTCGAAAGAGTGCTCGCCTTGTCGCAGGACATGCGCAATGAATCAAAGAAGGCATTGTTTTTGATGACCGACGGTGAAGCTACCGTCGGCAAAGATCCAGCTGCAATCGCCGAGAGTCTGAGGTAAAACTTTTTGGGCAACTTTTTGAGGTGTTAGCGAAAAGTACATGCACATATCAGTAACTTTTACCTCCATATTTACGATCACCAAGTTAAAATACTACTCCAATGTGCCACTCTGGGCAGGTGAGACTCAAAACAGCCAGAGCAGAGATCTGCCCAATCGGACGCTACACAACCGGAAAGATATCGCGTGTACAAAATCTAGCCTATGTAACATGTTGAGTGAGACAGTATGTAGTCTAGGACACTGGAATGAGAATTCAGTTCCAAACGAAAAAAACTGGTGCTTTTTTTCAAGTAAACAGAAACAACCGTTGGTTCAGTGGAATTTATATAAGAACTGTACTGTTTTACAACTTTGCAGATGTATGAAGGCTTTGACTCAATGTCCGTTTTCTCTGGTACGATCCACAGGCGAGACTACGGGATGGAAATATTTTTGGTGGCAGTGGGCCAATCAATCGACCACAGGCAGCTCCGTAAAATTGCTTCTCAGCCGTACTCCACCCACGTGTTCCTCTTGGAGAACTTCGAGGACCTGGAGCAGCTGACGGCGATTATCTCGGAGAAGGGAGCAGGTGAAAAGCTTGCCAAAAATGAAGGGATCTTTGAGACAAAGAAACTTCTAGCGAATAAAGGCCTTTCTTTCGTGAAAGGTTTAGTACGTTCTGCCCTGAAATGATTTAATTTGCGTTGGATCTAAATAATATTTTGTCAACGCCGTGTGGGCTTGTGGAAATAAGCAAAACATTAGGTCTTAACCCCTTCTTTAGTCATTATAGGCTTGTGTGTGGCACTTTGAGGTTTTCGTTTTAGTCTGGTTACACCCACGGGAAAACAAGAACGCGAAACACAGACGGCAGGTACCTATAATACCTCGTGCGAATCAATGTTGATATAAGCGAAGAGGAATATACGTTACAAACTGTTTGCAGCGAAATTCGTTCGAGTTGAATTAAGTTTAACTTTTTGCGAATTTGTCCCAAAATGGCGTTGACGATCGCTTTCGCGGCAAGTATGAACCTGCCTTCTGCCTAAAGGACCCACGTGCGCGGCATAACAAGTGAAACGTGACCTGGCCTGGCTTTCCTGTAACCTTTCAGAGTACAAACGCTGTGGCCAGGCAGGGAACCTCGAGCTACCTTACAGCAGCGGGAGGCAAGTCGGGAAAAAGGACGCCAACCCAAGGGCGTGGCCCTGGCTCGTCCAGATTGTGGCGCTCACCGAAGACGGACCGTTCCTGCAATGCGGGGGCGCGTTGTTGTGTGAAGACTGGGTCGTCACGGCTGGTAGTTGTGTCTGGAATGAGACAGGCCTTCGAGCATTTCCAGCTGAATACGTAAGCAGTTGATTACACATATCTTACTGCACCCTACAATCTCTTCCAAAATCAAGTCTAAGAAAAAAAGAAGTCGACCCCTCTATTTTAATAGCTTCAAACGTCTTAAGAGTCTTACTTGTGGAAAGTGGTCAGAATCACCACCTAATTTTATGATAGCCACACAAGCAGTTATACCGGCAGGCCTGCATTTAGATCTACAATGATCTTTATTTCTCTGGAGAATGCAGCAGGGCTGAACGTTCCTTTATGGCCTGCTGCTCAAGATTATTACGCTGTGTAACTTAATCCTAAACCCGCTCCAACTAAACCATATCAATCAATTGAACAGAAATTTGATACTCTCAAATCTCGAGCCTCTGGTCATCACTCACGCCAGCTTTTCCCCCTGTGTTTCTAGTTTCTTGTTCGCTTGGGCTCCCATGAACTGGGGATCCAGGAGGACACTCAACAGTACGGTGTGGCTGAGGTTCGCCTGCACGAAGACTTCTTCATATACAATCGCGATAATGACGTTGCCCTACTCAAACTGAATCAGTCAGTCAACCTCACTAGTGCCGTACGCACTCTCTGCATCCCGTCAGGTAAACAAATCAAGGGTTCTTTTTCTCTCAACAACTAGGCTGCTTTCACAGATATCGGCACCTGGGCAGTACCTGCATAGTCAAGTTTTGGCGCTAAACGGCACTATTTTGGCCCATCAAGATACAGCAACCATTGTACATGTATTTCTATCACGTCACTAGGTGCTTGTTGAGTTCACGGTGCTCCTGTCTTTCGACCGGTCCCATCTGCGGACTCTCGCGGCCTGTCTGATTTCTGAAGCAAGTACATTTTGAATGGCAAAAAAAGCTGCCCAAATCATTTTCTTGCAGGTTAAGTTGTGGCCTGCCTACCAAAATGTCAACACTTCATGGGTACGAGTTCTGAAAACGTCCTGAATGACCAAGGGTCACTTTTAACATTTGGCTGAAATCAGGCCACAAAAAGCGCAGCTATTGGCCGGCGAGACCTCTTTGGGGCATGTCAAACAGTTATCTCTGAAAGCCGGGGTCGCCCTTCCTCATGGAATCTTTCACATGTAAAGCGAAACATGAACAGTATCCTTCAATCTACCTCCTTAGATTTTGTCTGAATTCTGTTAGGTATAGGCCTCACTTTAAAATGTCCCTTTGGTCTTTTGACGTTGGACAATGCTCATAGAAAGAGCAAAAGGGCGTGGTCTGTCTGAGGCCGACTTCGAAAGGAGAAAACTGAAAAAGGTCATATTATTTGAACACAAAAAGAGCTGTACCTCATTTTTCCAAAAACAGAGATCGAGGTTATCCGGTTGAGGTCTAGCAGCCAGTGCTACATAGCCGGCTGGGGCATCGTGGACCCGATCAGGGACGTGGGGAACAATGACAGCATACCTCCGGTGTTTCCGCAGCAGCACATAATTCCCCTGGTTAACGATAACGACTGTAGGGAAGAAATGCACGAAATGCCGTTCCCGATCGACAAAAAGAAGCTGTGCGCAGGGACGAGGTAAGGTTTTGCCAGAGAGTCCGTTAACCATGGGGGCTTTCGTTGGGGTGGTGGGACACTTGTGTCCTTAACTTTGAATGGCGCACGCGACAGGTGAGCACGTGATTTGTCAAGGAGCACTACGGTATGCTTGCAGCCTGCACGCAAAACAAACAAAGGAACAAACACCCCAACACCCCAACAAACAAACAAACACCCCAACCAACCAACAAACAAACAAACACCCCAACCAACCAACAAACAAACCAACCAACAGCCCAACCAACCAACAAACAAACAACCCCACAACCCAACGAACGAACGGACGACCGAACGAACATGCATACACCAAATGCATACAACCCACCCCACCCACCAACAAACAAACTAACTAAAACTGGCTTTCCATAGATGAATGGATTAATCCGCGTTGCACTCATTCTATATCACCTCATCACAATGACGCACCGTATGTGATATGGTGGGTGGACCCCCTCTTTCGTTTCTTTTTTGTGGTGTAGGTCTTTCAACCTCTTGTTTTCAATAGCATAATTCGACCGCTTGTGGACAGGTGCTAGCGCGCATTACATGCCTCTTCGACCAATTGGGTGCCGTGGTTTGTCAAATGCACGCGTGCGTTAAGCTGAAGAATGTGGGTGTGAGTGCGATGCCACCGCAGTTAAGTCGTCTAAATCAGATCTAAAGGGCCATACCCCGTAAAAAGAGCCATTTTGACACCGAAAATAGGACAAAGGGGATATTTATTTAGTCAGGTTACAAAAGAAAACCCAAATTGTTGGCCAGCCCTCAAATACATTCCCCATCCAAAAGAGCTGGTTCCGGTTGGCCCTTGACCAGCATTTGGGACATTTTCGTGTTGCAGGTACCAAGCACCGCACGGGGCCTGCCGGGGTGACACAGGGGCAGCTCTCGTGTGCAAGCAGATCGACGAATCCTGGGCAGTCACCGGCATCGCCTCCTACACGAACGATTGCACGGAAGCCAATAAGTTTGCCGTCTTCACACGCATCAGCGAGTTCATACCGTGGCTGCACCGGCAGACGGCGAACTGCACGATGAAATACGAGGTACAATCAGTCGGCGGCTTCCAAGAGCAGGCCTTGCAAAATACAAAGTAAACCTTCCCTTCCTTCAAAAATTAATACGGAAACAAAACAAACCTCTTTGACAAATAAGCAAAGTTAAGGGAAAAAATCAAAATAATGAAAGCAGAAAAGACAGAAATTTTCCAGGTTGTTCATACAATGCTGCCGTTTCACTGGAGGTGAGATCAGCGGAAAAGTGTACCAGACACTACGTAAGATTTCTTCAGCGGAGGCTCCGTGTATTTTTTTTCTACATTTGCCTATTCGAACTATATAGTTAGCCCCAATTGTTGCTCGAACTTGCCCTAAATGGGCATCACGAGGAACTGCTCCGTGGTAGACTGAGAGAGATCTTTCGGTTGTGACTTGTCCTGTGATGGATTACACACGCAAAAACTACCTAATACCTATACTTGTCTCCCACTTCTGTTTTCCGGAGTGCACGGAGTGAAACGTCGACGTCGTCCAGTGTTAAAATAAACCGTGTTATCATTTCGTATCTTTACCCTTTACACAATAATCAGTCATAGCTGTATGTATGCTGCATTGGTAAAATTTATTTTCAAACTTTATCATCCTGTACATGCTAATCATTGTATTTTTAAGTAATCTTTGAGTCAGGTGCTACCGTTTAGCTCAGAAACAAAAGCAAGCTACACAAACACTTTATGGTTTTTCTGTAAATGGACTTATCAATATGCACGACCTTCTGGCCTATGTTTTGGCAATGTGTTTCATAGCTGAGATACATACCTCTATGCAAGTACACTCTACACCAACATATGGCTTCTTGTCAAGAATCAGAGGATTGCAACTTGTTTTTCAAAGCTGGCTTGTAGGCCTATGACAGCGAATGTTATGTGAGAATGTAATCCTTTTCAGATAAGAAAAAGTATTAAATTCTTGGCGTTAGCATTAAAGCACCAGTAGTGTTACAACAAAAGTTTTTTGAAATCTTTTTTTTGGGGGGTGCAATAGTGTGAATGATGGTGGAGTAGATTTTGGCCCGCCCTTAGTGAGAAGACAATAACGGTTGCTTGTGCGCTAATACGCCATCTTTTCGTTCCATTGGGATTTCCGTTACTGACTACAGAGACTCCGATTTTCAGAAACAGAAGCCTCAGTTGTTAGGCAGATATCCATAAAATGCAAGAAGACGTTAAATCTGTTGAGCGCAATGTGACCAATGGTGATTAGACTGCTGTTTATTGCGTTTTGTGCATGCTTAGCTAAATTCACGAAGAGCCTGTGCTTTATTTACTGTATGCAAGGTTACGGCAAAAACAAAATACACGCCCAAACGTGGTTCAGACGCACGGTTCCAGTCGAGGACCAACGGTGTGAAACTGCCAGGCATGTGCGTACATTCTCCGATGGAAATTCAAACAGTTCATGTCGTTTGTTGGGGACAGACTTTAGTGCTAATGGTCAGCATATAAGTAAATGTCAGTCCAACATATGATATAGGACCGAGTCCGCTGTCGTGTTGTTTCTTGTTATACGAACACACCAACTTAGTTGAGATATAGGGCCTACACATTTATGGCTGTGACTCCTCGCTTTCCTCCTGTTTTTTTCCCTGCATGTCAGCAGATTTGTTTGCCTAGAATTAGGCCTATTATTAAATGTATCCAAGTATGCCTTTCTGTGTTAACGCATAAAGGACGAGTCTTGCTTTAACGAAAGCTTCTGGTTTCAACCGAATGTCGGCTGCTCCGCACAGGTGTATTGTATAAAACGATTCCCAGTTGCCGTTACCGTTGGCCAGGTGTCTTGAAGCAGTGAGCTAGTTTTGGATCACGTTCAGGTTCTCGACCCATTCGGCGCACGCCTCGGCCGCCTGCATCTCCGCCTCCAACTCGGGGCTCCACTCAGCCACAAAGCTGTGCTCGTCCAGCTTCAGGCTGTCACCCCGGTAGGTAGAGGACATAAAGAGGTAGGGCTGGCCCACCAGGGGCCGGATGCGCGGGCACAGGTCGCAGGGGCTTCTCAGGTGCAGGTCAATGCCCTCGCAGAAGATGTGCTGATTGGGGCCGCGCTCGAAGCTGACGTGGCCGGGCCGAGGCGGGGTCAGGACGGCTTCCACATCAACGGTCAGCCGGATGTAGTTGTTCCTCACGAAGCGTTCAGCTCTGGACACGGTTATAATCATCGCTATTGAAAATAACCAGTAAATAAAGAAGCCTCACGTTAGATTCTAGAGGTTCTGAAGTTAAGCTGGAATATCTCATAGGCTCATCAATCTCCGCTTGAACAAAAACACTTCTGATTAGAACGACTGAAAGAAAACCCTTTCATTGGGTTTACAAATTAATATACAAGTAAACTAAACGTGAAAGGCATGGGAAGTTGCCAAAGCATGTGCATTATAAGACCCAAAGTGAATGAATTTCTTACCATGTTGGCCATAGAAGCAGGCGTTACTCACTGTCATTGTCAGTGGGCAGGGCTGGCAAACTTCACCAACTTATATAAAAAAAATACAAGTGAAGAATGTCTTGTTTAACTAAAGCGATAAAAAATGATTTCAAAGCCATTTATTTTCATAAATATACTTCTATTAGGATGTACAATACAACAGTTATATCTGAACTCTGATAACTCCCCGGTCAGACTGACTTAAAATCACATTCCCGTGGGGCCCGTTCCAAGGTCATTTTAACCCTTAAGAGGGTCATTTGTGGCTCCAAAAAAAGGGTTTACTCCTGGGACACGGATTCCAGTCATTCTGACATTGCTCCTCCGAAGACACGTTATAAAGAAAGCTTTGTTTTAAAAGAAACTGGCTTTTTTGGACCATCTGAAAGATTGGCAGAGGCAGCCTTCTTCCCCTTAAATACTCTGACAGCCTTCTCAACCCCATGTGATTTGAAACTTGACGTGTGTAAACGCTCTCATCCTACACCGTCAATTCATTCCATTCAATCTTGTTACATTTATTAGAAGTGCCTGGCCTCGCGCGTGTCCACCAGTGTGTATTAAGCACGTTGACCCATCTCCCAAAAGTGAGTGTTTCGAGAGAACGGCAAGCTCGATTTTTGAAAAAATTGTGTCGAAATGACCCCAAATATTACGGAAACAAGGATCGGCCTGAAAAAATGTACTGTCACGACAACAGAGAAAACGTTTAGGTCGGTGGATTCCGCACACGGCTTTGTTGGGGTTGAACTGTCGAAAGTTGTAGAAACAGTGGCTCACGGGAGCAGCTGCGGATGCAGTCATTCAGCGTCTCGAAGCGGTTTTGGTTGGCCCGAGTACCGCTGCATCCTCCGTACGTAAACGTCTGGCATTGCTCTGAGTTGGAGTCATAGGTCCAGTAGACTTGGTTCTGGTTGCACGGGCCAGCCACACCAGGCGGGTCGTAGCAATAGTTCCCTGAGACACCACAGATAAACAAAATGTCATCCAGTTGAAGTCAGCCAAACGTTTCTCAGACAAAGTCTTTCCCCTGCACTTGAGGAAATCCACTTTTTCCTGAACTTCGGATTTGACTGGCTAAAGATTGCCTTCCCATGATCCGATCATTTCCAAAGTTCTGCCCAAAAATAATGTCGAACAAAAGGAAATCTTAGAATGCTCAGTTCAATCCATTTACCCATCAGTCTCTTTAGCCTCTGTCTTTAGCCTTTATCTTGATTGCACCTGTAACTGGTCTAGACTAATGACACGCCTAGACACTGTCTTCTTAGCTATGCATTCATGTAGTCATGTACGTAAGAACCTTTCAGAAATACTGACAAGCATATCATGTATTAAAGCCCTGGAATACATTACCAGGTTTATAACGGACCATCGCAGGTGTCTCTGCCAAAATTATATAATATTAGAGTTCCTCTTAACTGTGTTGCGTATCTGAATGTATTCCTGATGTGAAATAAGGTGGGACAACTGACAACTGGAATTTTGGATGGACATGACGCACTTGAACAGTTGCCCTCGCAGTAGGCCAGAGATTCAAAACCTCCCTCCAGCATGCATTCGTCGCTCGCGACTACACTGCAGCTGAGGACGCTCGGGTCTGGGTTATAGTAGAACTGTTTCTCCGGGTTGGGGCAAACCGATGACCTTCGTCCCATGGCCGTGGGACGGGCAAAACAGAGACTTCCTACAAGACCAAAAGGAAGACATAATATTCCTTATAACCTATATTTGCACAGACCCGAAGCTTTGCAGAAAGGCTGTGGGTGTGCATTTACAGACAATTTTTGGGTCGGTCGTATTGAAATTGAAAGCGAGGTCTATTCTTCATTTTGAAAATTAATATAAAAATGAAAGCAATAACATGAAAGTTTGCACGTCGAATTAGTACCTGTCTACTCTTATGAGTAATTTCAAATTTGTAATTAATTAAACATACAAAAATGTAGCTCGTGTTTTAAGCCAGATTTAGAAAAATTCTGCAAGGGAGCTAGACTTAGAACTCATGCACGACAACCACAAACGGGTCTGATGTCATCCTAATCGACTGTTTGGAATTTACAAAACAGATTCAGGGAGCCAGATCGAAAATGGCCTTCGTGTGAATCAGGTCTATTCCAGTGTACCTTGAATGCACGCGCCATCAAAGGCCTTCTCGAGAGACGAATCTCCCGTTTGACAAGCTCTCACTGCTAGAACGCAGGCGCTTTGGTAGTCTCGTGCATCGGTACCGCACACCGGCCCCCCGTCGTCACCTGGTTCGGGACAGTCCGTGATATTCAGGCAACCCGAGCAGCTTGGCCCGTCTCCAACCAGTTCACACTTCCAGCCAAGTGGGCACTCATAACCTAGGCACGGATCTGGCCAACAAAATTTGTCAAGGTGAGAAGATACATGTAAATGTACACACAGGATAAGTGTGTTTAGTAGTTAAAGATTAAACGCTTTTCTCAACACTTTCTTGGTACCAGTGTGTAAAAATATGTTTGTTAAACATAATTCATTGCGAGTTTCAATGGATGGTGTTTAGCCATCGAACATGGATATTTAGGAAATGGGTTTTCTGATGCTTAGCTTAAACATGTTAACAGAGTGCCAACACTGTGTTTAATTGGCAAACACACTGGAGTGCGGATTTTGTACCAAAGCTACTTCTTCCAAAGCAGGAGAGGAGACGGTTAGTCTTAAAACGGAGGCCAGAGTTTACTTCATATACCTGTGCAAGAAGGAGTTTCTTGCTCCTGATGCAACGTGCCATTGTCCATGCATACAATTTCCCTCGATCCGGATAGCAACATCCCTTCTGTGCAGCCAACAGTAACAGCGGTTCCTGTGGGTACGAGCCCACCATTCAGATCAGGATCGGTGACTACACCCGGAAGCAGGTTCAGAGACGGGCAATATGCCTCTGGTGGAATATAACGATAGCACAGGAAATGAAACGGTGACTTCAAGAGAATGACCGACTGAGAAGATCCGTACTGGCCCCGAACAGATTAATGTGAAATGCATACTGATCACGAGCCTGTTGAATCCTCAAGACCACGACAAGGACCCTATAGGGTCCGGAGAAAAAAACTAAAATACAATTAAGGCAGTTTCTTTCACATATTATTTTCTCACAGATTCTGTCAATGCAAAGATTAGCACAAATTGTCTCAAATACTTCTTGGCCTAAATAACTGATAAACGTCATGTATACAAGCATAAGATTTCAGATGTCTATGCTAGCCACTGAAATGAAGCTGAAACCGTAACAACTGACAGGATTCAAGTCTCGACAGCTACCTACTCGATCACCAGATAAGCCTATCTTTTGAATTCATGAGGCATATTCGCATCAAAACATTTAAAGGCAGGTTCATACTTGCCGCGACAGCGAAAACAAACGCAAAATTGTGACGTCAGATCAAATACTCGAACACATTTTCAACTTGGGCGAAATTACGCCGCAACATTTTCGTGACATGCAGTTGGTCTAGTTTTCGCATTCGCCTCACCGGCATTAAGTCGGTTAACTTCTTATGCAGTTTAACTTGTTCTAAATGTGATTACATTTTTCTACTATGCGTAGCCAGTGCAGGAAATCGACACTTTCGTCACCTAGTTGTTCTGAGAAGCGACACTCGCGAGTACGGTATAGAAAAGGAAGACATCACATCCACATCACTGCAAAATATACGGAAACTCTGAGGGAATGGGAGAAGTCCGCTGTTGCATTAAAGAAATTATTTCAGAAGGTATGAGGTTTGCCCATCCTTCTTTAAAACTGAAATTAGTACAACTGTGCATCTGCACTTTGAATAAGGTTGCCACCAAGTATTACAAGGTGGTGCCCTCTTCCAGGAACTCACTTATACAGGTCGGTGCTTCGCCGCTCCAGTCCCCGTGAGCTTGGCATGATCGCCTCTGAGCACCATGGAGCTCGTACAGCTCAGAACATTCGTACGCTGCCACTGACAGGTACCTTGTCCCGTTGGACAGCACAATATTTCCGTTGGCGAGGGGTGCAGGTGTCTCGCAGGGGACTGTGGAAGAAACATCATAGCTTACCATCAACTAATCTTGGAAGGCAATGCCATGTTCATTGAGTTCTTTTAAAGTTAAACCCTACTTAGCTTCTCAGGTTGACTTTAACGCGTAGTTTATTACTAATGATTGGACGCAGTAGCGCGTTTGATAGCTTTTAATAGCCGAGTAAAGCCTTTTGATGCTATTTTCAAGATCCTATTACATGATTTTTCAGGACGAAAACTGTAATACCGAAGAAAAATTTCATTCGCAAAACCTGCAGGCCTTCTTCACGAGACGTACGCCTTTGGAATCATGCCCCGTCTAATTTGTTTTATTTTACTGCACACGCTTGAATTTGCTTGCCCTTTCATTAGTCCCTTAAACATAAAAAGAAGTTGCTTGATCGAGACAATTATCTCGAGAAATCGCAAGCGGCAAACGTATGCTTCTGTACTTGTTTAATCCTCGATGTAAATAAAGTAAATGAACACAAATCTAGAAGAAAAGAAATGTTAACCCACCAGTGACGGTCAGCGTCACTGACATGGCTTGGGCAACCGTTCCACATACGTACTGGCTCGTGTGGTCTGTGGTAAGATCCATCAACACCAAGCGGAGAAGACGCCAATCACCGTCGCTAACACGGCGCTGGTGCGTTGCCATGCTCAACCTACACATTATCCGCAGAAAAGAAAGGTGAATTTGCCCTTATATCAGGGGATCAACTCGTGGCTAATTATTGATTAATAATCATGTAAAGAAAAGTGCATCATACTTGAGTTGTCCAACAATCGGAGACTGTCGCAATTGAATTGTGTGGTTTATTGACCCTAACAGTTCAACCGATCCGACGTCTCACCGCTATTAACATAAAAGGTTTCTACAGAACGGGACCAAGATATATTATAGCATTACCTAATCGAGAACGCTTAAAGTGAGCTTTTGCCCTTAAGTGTAATAAATTTCAAGACTATAAGTTTGGGCAGTAATTATAATAATCTTTCAAATGTAATGGTTTGAACAGGAAAAAAAATGAACAAAGAGAGAAAAAAAACCTTTGGGATTTGAAAGAACACCCACAATACTAATCCCTTTCTTTAGCCATTTTGCGCTACACTTTTTCTCCCCATCTTTGTGCCTTAGACCCCTCAAAATGACGCTAAAGGTGGTACGTAATTCGGGCACTCCCATAATATATTTCTGCCCGTTCCGAACGGGGTCATTTCTATGAGAAAGACTGTTTGTTAACAGCGACACGTATAGTCGGATCAGATTAACAGTTAGGCCTATAACTAAATTCAGTTGACTCCATTACTAGAACTTACACTGTTTTGTTTCACCTGTGTAGGTCAGTTGGCCTTCTGTGTTCCATCCTATAATACAGAATTAACGACGATGACCTCTAAAGTACACCCCCAAAAGCAAAAAATCCAACGTACCTTTCGCCATTAGGTGCTATTCTCCACCATGATACGAGATCATCTGTAGAGACCTCTGGTGCATCGTGGCTGGACGGGTTACACAAACAGTCCAAGAACACGGAGGCTCCCGTAGTGCTGAGCACATTCGAACCAGACTGTAGGTTTCTCCCGTCCTTATAAACTTCGAGGACGACATCTGTTCATAACAGTGAGACAGCACACAAAGTATAATATCCAGATACTTGCTCGATTCCATGGGCTTTCATCATTGGCTTCAAAGCAAAAAATAAATAAATAAAAGATGTTAAATCTTGAGTCATAATGACAATTACAGGTTTAAAGAAGAACGAAGCTCATGTAGAAGGGCTGTAGTAGTGAAACTGGGCCAATTTCATCGAGAATCGCCATAGACAATATTCGCTTAGCAAGAACAGGTAACCAGACTTAATGTCGAATCATGTTGCTGGCTCCGGGGTGTATGTTGACATTTTGGTTTGGGAACATAAATTTACTCAGATCCACGAAAGAAGCCCCACTGAGGTTATTACCTATGGCACATGTCGGAAATACGGCATTCCACCCATGGTCAGTACACTGGACGTGGCTGTCACCGTTCAACAAAAACCCTTCGTCGCATTCAAATGCAACTTCATCCCCCTCGTAGTACTCCGACCGACCTGTCGACAGAGCTACGGATCCGTTGGAAATGGGAAGTGGTGTGTCGCATCTCACTGCTCCCAGAACAAACGGAAGACGCGTGGGGTGGTTAATAAAATGCAATTCTCTTGTTTCTTCATCTGTTGTTGTTTGTGTGTTGGTACAAACAGGTCGTGGCGGTGGTATAGCTGACGTTTTATGTAAACGAATCTCTATGTACACGTGCGATGGGAGACCCAAAAGGCGTAAATGCTGGACGAAGAGTTTAAGGCTTTTTGGCACATTTTCTGGTGGCCAAACAGTGAAAAGTTCCAAACAAAAGTTCTAAACAAAATGTGTCACTGTGCATTTCTCAGTCTGATGTAAAATGTCGAAAATGTAATCATTCGTTTACTTTGGTAGAACAAAAGCAAGGGTCACATTAACGTTTCATTTGCCATATTGCTGGAACGCGATTTGGAAGAATGAGACACTTTGAGATTTCTCACCAATGACGTTGAGGTTAATAACTTCGTCATATGACATGTCGAAGTTGCTGCAGGTGTATTCTCCTGCATCGCTTACGCTCACTACTGGAAAACGAAGAACTGCAACACCTCCGCCATCACCTACCGCCAATTCTAAAATCTTAAAAAGTATATATCAATTTTGAAATCAAAATTCATTTTATTTGGAACAGAATGTTTTACTAAATGTACCATGGGGGAAACACGACAAAGTAATTATGTTAAAAGTGAGATAGTCAAGACATGATGGATTCACAGAGGGACAGAATTACGACAGCCTAGTGAACAAAAACTGGATCAAACAGTTAAAGGGGTCATTTAGATTCTTTACTTAATTCTCTACTTACTTTACTGAATGGTCAGTGGTAATAATATCGGAATAAAAGAAAACATTGACTCTTGAATAAGCTGTGCTGTGTTGCTCTTACGGGATCCTCCAGTTTGAACCATCTTGGCTGAGACTGTGCTCCAATCTGTGTACAGTTTATCTCCAACTCGTATCCATCATAAGTCGTGATATTGCGGTGGTCCATTAAACCGGTTGTGGTAATCGTCATCATGTCGTTACCTTTGAGGAAAATCATCAGGAACAAAAGATGCCATTTCTTCTTGTCAGGCGATGTTCTTTTTGTTCTCTTTCATCCACGTAATTGTATTAGTTTTTTTGACGTAGGTCTATTAGTACGAGTGTATAACCGCTGTGATTTCACAGACCAGTTTGTTTAATTTAAGACATCAAAAACGAAATTTCAACTGATATCGACTGTTCACTAAATCCTCATTTATCATGCTGCTAAACAGGCGTTTTAAGAAAATAAGCATAAACGGGTCATTCAACTACCTTACAAAAATTGCAGGTCGGCAGACTTTTCAAAGCACCTATCAGGGCAGCCCTCCTGCTTACCAGCTGCCTATCAGCGTTGGTTGGGGAGATAGTAGCAAACAAGCAACTCACCATTACCAATCTTGCACTGGCCAGCCAAATAGGCAATCTGCCAGCCTATCAGCCCTGAGGGACCATGGGAACCAACAAGCAGTTAAAACCGCAATTTAAGGCTAGTCATCTCTCCAACCGGTCGGGTTTATCGCCATTTCACTCACGTTGCACACACGACGGTGCGGTGCCATTCCAGACGCCGTCTCGGCAGCCGACAACAAGCTGTGGTGCAGGAACAGTGACGCCGTCTTGGAGCATGCGGTACCCAATTGGGCAGTAGAAAGTCTGAGTGGCCAAACCGTCTGCAAGCACGGTTCTCTCACTGCGTCCATCGACAGGTTGAGGCAGATACGCATCTAAACAGCTCGCTGGAAAATGTAAAAGAGAAATCGACGAAGTAATTTCACTCGTTATGCTGTCAAATTTGGAGATTGGGGATCGCGCCATTCCACCAGAAAATATTAGTATGGTGATATGTTTGACAGCTGTTAACCGGATGATCAAGAGGAGGGATTTGTTTAATGAATACGGATTCTTAGCTTTGAACAAACTTGTTCTACGAAAAATCATGAACTTGATGACAATGCCGTTAGGTTCATTTCCAGACATCAACCTGAATGTCAAGGAAAACCTACCGTGTATGAGCCAAGGTAATGAGATTTCTTTTTAAATCTGAAATCTGTTTTTTTTTCTTCGGATGACCTACGTTTGACACAGTCTGGTGGGTCATAGTTCCAGTTGCCGTCGATACCGCATCCTATCTGATCGTAATCACCAACCATTGTATAACCCGGATCACAGGTGAACCTGACGAAGCCCCGTCGGCCAGCCGTGACGCCACCGGTGGTGTCACGGTTGGTCTGTCGCCCCTCTTGGTAACCCGGGTCCGGGCATGTTGCTGCAAGATCAAAAACGATTACATGCCTTTGAAATTCGTCTGTGAGGGTGGCACTTACGCTTCTGTCGGGATTAATTGGAAGAGACAGAACTTTTTAAAAGAAAACATATCGAGCTTTCTATTAAGTGGTATTCCTAATAACACAAGACATGGAATCTCCGAAACAATTTTGTTTTTTGAAGAGTATCTCTAAAAGTGCACCAAAGATTGCAAAGTACGCGGACTCGTTTGTCCTCGGGTATCGGTCTTTAAATGTTTCCGCTACTCACTCTTATTTAGATTTGGAATATTTCTCTGAATTATAACGTATGCGGTTGTGACTGTAGAAAAAAACTACTTGGCATGGCACGAAATGAGTTTCCTCGAGAATTATACGTCCTGGCCAAATCCCAATAGGGTGAAAGAATTACTCAAACGTTTCACCACGTCGGATGGACTGGAGCCCGTTTTGATTAAATAACCGCCAAAGCCTTTACCGTGTGAAAATTTAACAACAAAATCTAAAATGGAATGAACAAGCCGGCTTCTGGGACACTCACAACAAGGTTGGGGAAAGACAAGCACAGTCAAAACAAAGCCACAAACTCACGGATGACTTCTATTTGAACTATGTTGCTATTCAGCCGTTCACTGGTTGTGCATCGGTACAATCCGGCATCAGACTGCGCTACTTCGAATAGATGGAGCGAGTACCACCCTGAAAGGACCAATGTTTTCGGAGTGATTAACTGGTAAGAAATTTAGCAGAGTCGCTGGTCTATTTTTATACAGTGGCAAAGTGTAGGGTGTTGGAAAATGTTGGGCGTCACCTTAAGTAGCTGTGCAATCACCAATTAACCACAAGGTCAAAGAGTGGATGACTGTATCAAAATCAAACGAAGACACGCCTAAAATCATTTCATTAAGTCTGCTGAAAGGTATGCAGCGACTGAGTGTTGATCTTGAATCAATTCTGTGCGCTCTCCAGAGCACATTAAGCAAACATGAAAACTGCACACAGTAACTAATGCAACGACATAGGTAGGTTTAGATGTAACCTATCTTAGGCTCCTGTACGTGGACATAATTATGAGTTTCAGTTCCATAATGCAGAGCTTGTATATGACAATGTGTCATTGTGACATTTTGACAGTTTGGGCCCACACCATAAATAGTTATGCGTACTTGTATCATTTCTTCTGAAGGTTAACGACCGATCGGATGGGCTCTGTCCATCACGTTCCCAGATTCCTGAAGACGCGGCGGGCAACCTGCACTCCAACTTAACGACTTCACGCTGTTTCACCGTAAGCACACCGTCAACGATGGCGTGCGTCAGCGATCGGATGGGGTAGGCGCTGCTCTCTGAAAGAGTAGTGTACGACGTAACGAAGTGACCCAGAAGGGGAAAGTCATTCGAGAACAAAGCACGAAACTCAACCATGTTCAATGCGTGTGCATGACCCCTTGAAGGGAGAATCCTTCACACGCTACTACGCTTTGATTAAAACAATACAAGGGGAAATGATCCTTGCAAATAGGTACTGTAGGCATTTCGTGTACTTACGATCGTCTTCACACCGAGGGAAATCACCAGAGCTCCATCCACCACTTCGGCAAAGGAAGTTGCTGGTACCGATCATGCGGAAGTGCTCATTGCAAAAGTAGATCTTTTGCCCACCATTCCAGTTGTAAAGAGCATCAGATGGAACATTGATTGAGTAGCCTCTTGGAATCCTATCTGGCAGAGAACTGCAGATCTCTGAAAGAAAACGTGCAAGCTTGAATTATAGGCATACTTTCTGGGAAAAAAATAGAAGAGTAGAAGTTCAAGCCCAAATTGTAGAGGCCCATGCCTCATCAAGCTAAAATATCTGGTATTTTTTCCGGTGTGTTTAAATCTCTCTGTACCGTGACAGCTCGGTTCTTCGCCCGTCCATTGACCGCCCATGCCACATCTTCTGGTCTGGCCGCCGTGAAGTCGTTCTCTCCACTTAAGACATCTGTACGTGATGCTTTCATTGTAGTTGAAAACGAGCCCGGGAACTGTGATGCTCAATCCACTTGTGAGTAAAGTTGGCCGAGTGCATGTTGCCACTACAGGTAACGATGCGAAACATAGGGCACAGGGCGCCGTGTGAGTCACGTATGTGCTATGGCATACGGATATGGCAATTATCTCGAACATTATCGCCACTGAAACGTTTGGCTTGCCACACTATGCACCTGCACTCACTTCCAGGCAATCGAAGTGTGTTCGTTCGAACGTTTTTTTTTTCTCTTTTTTTTACCCATGTCCCTTTAAAGGCTCCGTAGAAGGCCTTGCGCTGATTATTTGGTTTTTTTTTTCAGAATTAGCCCCCCCCCCAAATTATATATAACTCTTTGAATATCCCATTGTGTAGGAGGGAGTGGAAGGGGATGTTTACCTACACTGAAAGGCTTTAATCAGTGCTTATAACTGTCAATCCTACCTTCACAGATTGGTGGAGGATGGCTCCATGTCAGATCATCCATACACTCTGTTGAGCCTGAGCCTCTCAGATCGTAGCCTTCTGGACACTCGAACATCGCCCATGATCCTATGAGGCGTTTTTCGTCTGACAGCCGGACAGCACCAGAGGAAAAGTCAGGAACGGGGCAACTCTGAGCTGTAATGGATAAATGAGTGCACAGTTGTTCGGGATAACTTACGGAACTATTTGAAATCGTAAGGCCTGGTAGAATAACTATGCAAAAATTTGGCAAGGATTTCTTTAAAAAAAAAACAAACCCCCTGTTAACTAATGGCGGTGTATATTGCGATTATGTGAAGATAAGTGAAAAATTAGTCGATTGCCTGGTTGAATTTACCTGTGACGGGTTATAGGATCCTTAACTCGTAACAAACGTGTCGGTTGAAACAACATGACGTCGCCGTGTCATAAAGATTGTGCATGTGAGTTTTCAAGTTAGGACTACATAACTGACACACATCCATTTGATTGGTGGAACTCACATCACGTGGCATTCATTATTGCTGCCCTCCACGCCGGAGGGTCCAAGAGTCCCATTCGCCCGTGGTTAATGGGGTTTACTATTCAACAATTAAGATCATGCTTGTTTCCACGGCTTTTAAACAGCTGACCCTCACTATGTTCTAACTACAAAGCGCCACAGACGAAAACCCGGGGAGAAGGTTTTGATCCATTCTGCTTGACAAGCAAACGCAGTCATGGCGGCGATGTCACCAGTTGTGCCAGCGTTCGTGTGCATTTCTTTTTTTTTTTTGTCTCTTGAAATTGAAGGGTCAAGATTTTACCTTGCGCTAATATTTCTCCATTCCACTTCGAGCTACTGAATATCGTTTAAAAACTCAAACGATAATTACGTTCACACGTAGGTACGTCGTTGTTCCAAGTGCCATTCGATAAGCAAGTAAGGCTTGCAGACCCATTGAGAACATGCGATGGAAGACATCGGTGTGTGACGATGGAACCATACTGAAAATCCAATGAGGTGATGAAGCCGTTGTCTGGTGCGCCTGGACTGTCACACTTCAACTCTGTTTTGAAAAAGACGGTAACCCTCAAGCAGTCACAAAAGCTTATTCTCTGATGGGTGACAAATAAAACAAAGTGATGATAGAAAGTCGACAATAAGATACTTATCGTGTGTGCCACATAGGTAAAATGAGTTATCTCCAAGATGATAATGGGTATCTCAGATTCGATTGTGCTATTACCAACCTGACATCTCAGCTTATCTACAGTTAACAATAGAAATATTGTTGGTGATTTATTGAATCTGTTTGCTCATTCTCAGTAGGATATTCAGGACATATTTAACAGGCCCACTCTTGTGGGGTAAAGATAGAGAGAATGTTTGTGCTTTTCTCTCCTCATGAGTTCCATAGTGTTAAGTGATCAGCGGAATAAGTCTCAGTGATCACACATGCATGCACTTACTGACGCACTCGACCTCGAGTGGCTCCCAGCCCACACCGGGTATGCATCTGATGCTATGCCTGCGGCCCATCATGTGAAAACCTTCCAGGCATTCATACCGCGCCTCAAACATCTCACCCTCTACCACAACCCTACCATTTTCCAGTCCATCCGGTTCAGCACAGTCAGTTTGTGCGCCAGCTAAAGAGAAAAACAAGTTGAACAAGAAGAAAAAAAACAAGCAAAACAAAACAAGAAACAAAAAACAAGAGCAAGAACATCATTAAGAAAACAACAGACACAACAGAGAGCAAAGAAAAGACAACAACATTAAGAATAAGTACAACTACCACAAGAACAAGAATGTTAAAAAAAGTGTCTTCCCGTAGTTAAAAATTCACTCTAGGATGAATTAACACTGTGCTCATTTAAACTAAGGCGTTCAACAATTTAATCCATGTTCGGTTGTTCACGGGGTTTCACCAGAATCCCCACTTTTATACCCTTTTAAAGGCCGGCTTATGTCTTTCAACCTGACGAAACTAGGCTTAGGCCAAATGCATTTTGTGCTTTTCATAATGAACGCATAATCCTAGGACTATGGCTGATGAAACATATGCACTGAAGAAATATTTCAAAAACGTTTTTAAATTATTTAGCATTGAGGAAAAGACAACTTACGTTTGATTTAATCAAGATAGAACTGAAGAACTACTCCATACGCGAAATTTTATTGCAGTCTAAATCTTAACCTTTAATTCAATTTCTCTCAAATTTACTTTGGTTATGTTTCACTGCAGTTTTTCAATCAATTCAACACGGTTTGACTGATTTTTTGTTGTTAAAACACCGCTCATGTTGGTGCTATTTCAGAAACTGAACACGACAAAAAATTGATGCTTGGATGTCGCAGATAGAATGCCTGTTCATCAAATTTATTTTGATCAATAGATTGGAAAGTCCTTTCCGATCACTTTCCTACGACAGCGCATGTTTGTTTGAACAAAGGTTCCTCAGGTTACCTTTCGTGGTTATTATCTAAACAGAGCAATGTGAGGAATGCTGCAAGAACTTTCACACGGGCGTAGGCTAAAACAAAACAAAGATCAGCGGACGCGATGAATGCTTATATGTCTTTTACAACAGACATTGTACACTTCAATACAGAAGACAACGGACAAGACAATAGCACTGCTAAAGTGAAAGGCTTGTACTTCGGTCCTCATCGAAGCCACTTCTTCACTTTTAATAAGAATGAAAAAAATCATTTGAGCTGTCGGACTTCGACCTAACAGCATTGTTGGATACACAGCCCTGGTGCTTTTATGCTGCTCTATCACCGCTTGAGCAAGAGACGATGGTTGTCCATCTCTCCACAACCATTCACATAGTAGGAACCTTATGTCGAATTACTATTGTATACGGGTATATAGCTTTCCCTATTTCTTTTTGAATACTGAAAAAAATTTGCTGTTTTAATCATCTGAAATCTGGTACAGTCTTTTTCAACCTATTCCCCGCGACACTGCAGGGACACTTGGAACTCGTTACGAAGTTAGATATCTGCACAATTTATCAGCAATATTGAACTAATCTTGACAAAGCAATACACTTTCACGCCTAACATAACAAAACTGCACAAAACAACAGTAACGACTACAACTGCAACAAACCAACAAACTACTTACAACTGACACAGTAGGGCGAATCCTCTGCCCAGCGGCCGTTGGACATGCAAGTTGATTCGTTATGGCCGACGAGTTCGTAGCCTGGATCGCAGCTGAAATGGACTGTTGTGCCGAATCCCTCTGGCACTGACGCACCCTGGGGAGGAGTCATCCACAACAACACATTGCTATGGGACATCACTGGTAGCGGACACGATGTTCCTTCAGCTTTACAAAAATAAGAATTGATACGAGTTAATACATCGGCATTTCCTTCAAAACCAGTCGCTATAAATACAGTTCATCATGACTGTGAAACCTGTCTTGAGTGACCATTTTTGTCGGCTTGTTATCGGAAAGGCTTTGTTTCATTGACCACCGGAGGATACTAATATAGGCTAATCTGATCTATTCATAGCAAAGTTCCACAGTGAATTGATATTTGTTTATGTTTTTGCTAAACACGTATAGTCATCTTGATCAAGAAATGTCGGTTCATATAGGTAAATGCTACTTATGGTAAACCATGGCAGTAAAATAGAAATACGTGTACAAAGGCGATTCTGTATGAAAGTTTTATGAAGACTCACTAAGTAATCAGGAGTCTTGTCTCTTTTCCACTGGATTGCGATATTGTTGTTTTCATTTATTTTCTGTTTGAAGCTAATCTAAGAGAGTGATCCAGTGAAATGTTCTGCCACAAATTCGTACTGATAACAGTTGACGTACTCTCTCTCTCTCAATGTAAAAGAGCAAACAACCGTTCACCGTTTCCCCTTGTAATGGCTCTAAATAAGTGGAAGTAAATTTACGCCTTTAGAGTGGCTTTCTACTAGGCCTATTAAGGTAAAAAATCAACGGAAAGAATGGCTCAGAACATTGCTCTAAAAGAGTGGGGAAAAGCACTCGAAGCGTGTTGTCCTACTCGTGGCTCTTTTGGGAATTTCACCCTTTCGCATTAAAAATGACGATTATCTCCGGCCCAAGGCCAGACAGTCCACGGTACTTACCATGGCCGTAAATGGGGGGGGGGGTATCTCCCACCTTGTGAGGTGAGGGATGGGCTATGGAATCATGCCCTCGCCAACTTTTTTGTGGTGAGCAAAATATTAAAGCAGATTGTGAATTTTTCAGACTTCCGATTAAAATGCATTCACTTTCACTGTAGAAAGGGAAAACGATTTCAAAAAGCTATAAATGTGCCATTCTAAATATCATGAAAATCGACCTCTATATAGGGTCAGATGGTGTCACCCCCTTTCAAATTATACAGCCAAGCAAGTCATCCCCCACCTATCCCTATCCTCGCCCCCGAATTTCTGGCAAAAATCACTTCACCGGTACTTACTGACATCAACACAACTGAGTCCGCACCGTCCGTCACACAGGCACTGTTCAGCACCTAGGCAGTCTCCCGTAGTGAGGCAGGCTGGTCTGCAGACGTGGTGGAGTGAGTAGTACTTGTCTCGCTCCTCACATTCTGCACGGAAAGAGAAGAGTTTTGAAGAATAACTTGTCCAATAATACTCTGCAGAGGAAGACTGGCAAACAACGATAGTCTTTCGAGGGCGCTCGCTGGGCCAAAACAGAGCAAAAAATTCAGTTAGTCATAATATGAGGATACAATAAACTTCCGCTTATTTCAGCTTTTTACTTAAACTCGCGCTGCCAATTTCTAACTAGGACTTGCTCCTATACAAACGAGACATTTCTTACCTTGTGCGTCCGAGTGGTTGTCGCATTCTGCAGTCCTCTGAAATGCAAGCGAAATGGACATCGCAAATACCAACGAAACAATTCGTCTAAAGAACATCGCCATGTTCATTCCTCTGTCAAAACTCCTCCATATGTCATCAGAAAGCAGCACGATCATATAAATATCTGCCAGTGTCTAACCCATCCCTAGGCTTGTGACAACTTACATCTAAGTGTACGCCTGGTTTAGTTTCACTCAAAATATTGACACGAAGTTGACTAAAAACGAAATCGCCTGATTTGAATGTGTGTTTTTCTATCATAATACGGGACACAAAATAAACCTATGAAGGTAATACAGAAATAATGTGATACACATTTCAGTAGCAATCCCTGGAATGCACAAAACTTGAAAATATTTTTGTGACGGTCAGATAAACCTACGTGACAAACCGTGGGAATCTTTGACTATAACATACCAACCTCTGTCCAAGCTCGCACTGATGATGCACCTACTTTAGTGTCAACTTCGTTTCCTATGATAACCTGTATGACCCTATGAAACTTTCTTTTGACAACCTTATCCGATCAGCAGAAAGTGATGAATTTACATCGTACATATTTTGGTGTTTTGTTAAGTTGTAACAACTGTTAACTGTTTCAGGTTTGCAGAAATTAATTTATGCCCCATCCGCGTGAAATGAAAGTAAATTTCTTCCGAGTTTCCATATCCTCAATCGCGTTTTAAAAAACCACAATGATTTAAAATCTACCCGCCATGTTTAACATTTTGAGTGCTACATTTACATTAACTGCGATCTTTCATCCAACGTAACATCGTTTTCATGGAAACAAGTGTCTATGAGTATTTAAAAAAACTTTGTTACGAAAACAAACAACCTGTCTAGAAAAATGTACACCTAATCCATTCCTCCATGCTTCAACTCACATTTTGGGGGAGGAGGCATGGAACTCCACGACAAGGTCTAACCCCCTCCCTATTAACTTATCCGTTGTTTAAAGTATAAAACATGGAGAACACTGGTCATTTATTTCCATAAATTAGAATGACTGCTTCAATGAGACTTTAACAAAGTCTTTAAACGCCGCGTGGAATAGACTCAGTTTTTATACCAGACGCCGGATGCAGGATCACACTTCTCTGGCTTTCCATGTGGGGGCAGGATTATTAATTAAATTATATGGATGAAATCGATTTTCAGTGTCTGAAAAAGCAGATGGATGTCATTTGAAGAAATAGCTCCGAGCAGACTTGGGAGTCTTATCACTTTTGAGGGGGTGATTTTGTTTTGTGTTAATTAAGAGAAATTCAACCCACCAAAAAATCGAAAGACATAAAAAGATTGGGGGCCGAACAATTATTCAGTTTTCACCCCTAGTGATGTGGCGTGCGTGGTGAGCCCCGGTTTTGACTTTGCACTGTTTTCAACGGGACTTGAATTTAGGCACTGCGTTCATCTGAGCTATGGACCCGTCACGTGCGCTAGGTTTATCAGCGTTTAGTGGGATGCAATGATCATAATAAGGGATGGCCGTCAGAGTTCCGGGGGGGGGCTTTGCCTAGCAGGTGGAGTACACTCCAGGGCGCCAGGGAGAGAGGACGAGTAGGTTTGGGGGTTGGAGAGCAGGGTTGGGTTGGGGTGGGGTATTGAGACGCTACCAAGTGCCAATGATAGACCGTTCACGCCATACCAGGACCGTGCTTCTGATTATATTTTAATTGTTTAAGGTTAAGACCCGGCCAGTGAAAATTGGGTAAGCACTCATTGATCCCATAATTATTACAACTGACTAAATGAACAAAAACTTACAATTTGGACGAAATTAGGAAGGACTGAGAACTACTTAATATAAAATAGTCTGGTGCAACCTTACGTTCAAACTACAAGTATATTTACAAGGGCACAGTGTCTATGGTATCACGCAAACCAATATCCAGGAAAACCCCAGCCTCTAACAGACCAAAACTTACACATAGGGCCTACTAAGACACAACACACCGGCACACAAACATGTTCGTTAATGCACATTGCAGTGTCCTATACAGTTTTACAAAGATAGAGAAGCTGACAACCGTCATTTAGAAATAATCCATTTCCATTTGGACAGTTGAGGCTGCCGTCGAACAGTGACGTAGCTAAGACTTTACTAGTGGGGGCGGGGGGCACAAGGGGACACCAGCATCTTATGGGGGATACCAGCTTCCAGTGGTGTTGTTTTGTGGCGGGGGGGGGCGGGGGGTTTTTTGGGGGGGTGGGGGGGGGGGGGGNGGGGGGCACTGGGAATTTATGTGTGTGTGTGGGGGGGGGGGGCGTACCCCCAGATGGCTACGCCAATGCTGTCGAATGTCTTAACCAGTGTGCTCCACAATTTGGGAATGTCCTTCAGTCGCCCTCCGGCCGTGCACACAAACTGCACGTGGTCACGCATGCAAAATGACACAAATGTTGGCCATGTACTTCACCACAAGTACTCTCTAAATCACCTTACGAATATCACTTTTTGAGAATTCTTTATCTCCCCCAGTATACCATCAAACTAGTTTATAATCACAAACGAATTGATTAATTGAGGAAGATCAACATTTACAGCTATTTCATTAAGTGGTGAAATAAAGCAATGTAAACGACAGTAGAAATGGCGATGCAGTTAGGCTACCTGTGAGTCTTGTTTCGGCAAGGGAAAAGGCACAAAAGCGTTGCTTCCCCATTTTCTTTCGTGTTGGTATCATTTATTTATTTATTTATTTTAGGTTAAGCTTAAACACTGTGCTACTATTACTAATATTATCTGACTTATGTATACATTACACATAATTAATATCTACATGTAATCCTGTTATAAATGATGTCAATGTTGAAATAAATGGTGATTGTCCATCATCCAACATGCCCTACTGAATATTTAATACCAACACGAACTACATGCAAAAATTTTAAATTAGTTTAAAATCATTTATTGTGCATGACCTCTAGTTACTTAGGCCTACAAATGTAAGTTTTTCGATCAACTCTAGCAAGACGGCTACCGTAGCACAGTAATAAACGTCAGAACCATGTGAACACTATTTTTGTAAACAGGGATAATGAACAAAAATTTGAAAAGTTGTGATGTACGGATAATCATCAAACCGATAATCATTAAACTGTATATATATTTGGTTCTGTGGGATCTCCTCACAATCGAATGTATCTATGGGCCACGGTATGGGCTCATACGTGCGCGCCTGGTGCGTGCACAAGTCGGATGCAAAATATCCCGCACCACACTGTCTGCCGGTGAGGGAGCCCTTCCACCCAGGCTGGCAAATTATAGGTACAACACCTGGGGCTACGAAAACTGTTGGGCCAAAGAAAAACATTAGGGCCTATGAAGATACCGCAGTGTTCCAGAAAGTCAACATTCAGGTGTACGCGAGGAAAGTTTCAACATCTCTCTGAATTTATGATTCTCTACGAAATTAGATTTCAAACTGGTTTACTGTTGGCTTTCTCCAGGTTAGCATCAACACAAAATGCACCGGGCTCTGGCGCTTTGGAGTACTGCAAACTTGTGGCCCATATCATACGATACCTTAGCCGGATAAGGCCCACGTCAATATTACGTCCACCATCGAGCCGTCTATCGTTTCATTTGTATCCACCTTGAGTAGAAGAACCCCGGCGTCATCGGTTGAAAAGGGCCATGCTGGTCGGGATGTTAGTTTTGTTTGTAGCGATGCTCAAGCAACGCGTGCATTTTACAGTCGTTCGTGAACGAGCGAAGTGAGCGTATCAAAGGAGCTGCCGCTTGATAAATTGCGCTCTCTCTCTTGGTCCATCAGATCCGTTTAATATAGCTCTCTATGACTCTGGTCTGAAGCAGTTTACGTTTTCCTTCACAAACTTTGTAGTGCAGAGAAAAATTCCTGGCACCCTGAAGTCTGGAGGGCGCTGTATCATTTCTCACAGTTTTTATCTACAAGGTGCCCACTGTCCGATCTACAATCCTGGACAAAATAGTTGGAACACCTTGTGGGAAGCGCGTTGCAAAGACCCCCTCTCCCCCATTCAATGTTGCGTTCATTAATTGGACCAAGATTTGGCCTAACTTACCCAATGAGAAGCAACATCAACAGAGGCGAGGGGGGAGGCATGTTCCAACGAGATTTGTCCAGGATTATCTCTAAAAGGTTCCGCCTTATCCTAATACGGTTCGTAGGTGTGACATCACTTCCGTTTTAACCATGCCCACTGTACACGTGCACTGCACATAGGATTACATGCATTGATCACCAGTATATAGACTGGATAGGGCGTTACGTTCAAAACGCGTCCCGCGTATGCGTATTTTCAGGAGGGTAAATGACGAGCGTTGCGAATTTCGTTGCGTCTACTTTCAAAATGGAGTTTTTCAAAAACCGGTTGAGGTTTTCGTGCTCCATCCAATCGTCAGATTTTGAAGGAAAACTGAATTCCGCACCTGGAATGGATAAATTGGAAAGAATAATGGTTGAGGTGTACGCAGCAGTGACTTAACCGAAATCAAGTTAAGTCAGGGTGTGAGCTCAACTTGTTAAGCTGATTAATATATGAATGAATTTTATTTCCAATTTTTTCACTGGAAATTCAAGATCGTGGCCAGAGGATCACTTTTCGTTTCAATGTAATGGGGGTCAGCCTCGAAAATAGTTTTTATTCGCCTTTTCCCAAAGATTCTTCTAAAATAGTAACAAGACTATCGGCTAAACTCTGAAGGCAGCTACCCACCTCTCTCCAGTTTCACTGTCGAAAATTTCGGAAATGAATGAAAATAAATTAACATCAATCCTGTAGCTCACTGTAGACCTATTCAAACCTAGAAAATTGCTTTGTGGGTTCTGCGCCCAGGGACATGAAAAAAAAATGTGGTGAGGGGAAAAATCCAAAAGTTATGCGGTGTTGACCAAGCATTCAGGCGCACGGACTCCTGAAATTCTCTACGAATCGCAGTTACCGGCTTCCATATAGGACTCTTCTGGGATCTCGGGGTTCCCGGCCCACCGCACTTCCTCCCTGCCCATCCATTTAACCCTAAA